TTACCTGCGGCAAATTCTGGGTTATACTTCTATTATTCAAGAATATAGGGTTCCCTTTCTCTTACCTGAGGCAAATTCTAGGTTATCTCTCTCTTATTCAAGAATATAGGGTTCCCTTTCTCTTACCTCCGGCAAATTCTGGGTTATCTCTCTTATACAAGACTAAAGGGTTCCCTTTCTCTTACCTTAGGTAAATTCTGGGTTATCTCTCTATTATACAAGACTATAGAGTTCCCTTTCTCTTACCTGCGGCAAATTCCGGGTTATCTCCCCCTTAAACAAGACTATAGGGTTCCCTTTCTCTTACCTTCGGCAAATTCTGGGTTATCTCTCTTATACAAGACTATAGGGTTCCCATTCTCTAACCTTAGGCAAATTCTGGATTATCTCTCTTATACAAGACTATAGGGTTCCCTTTCTCTTACCTCCGGCAAATTTTGGGTTATCCCTCTCTTATACAAGAATATAGGGTTCCCTTTCTCTTACCTGCGGCAAATTCTGGGTTATACTTCTATTATTCAAGAATATAGGGTTCCCTTTCTCTTACTTGAGGCAAATTCTAGGTTATCTCTCTCTTATTCAAGAATATAGGGTTCCCTTTCTCTTACCTGAGGCAAATTCTGGGTTATCTCTCTCTTATACAAAAGTATGGGGTTCCCTTTCTCTTACCCTGGTAAATTCTGGGTTATCTCTCTTATACAAGAGTATAGGGTTCCCTTTCTCTTACCTCCGGTAAATTCTGGGTTATCTCTCTCTTATACAAGAGTAAGGGGTTCCCTTTATCTTACCTGTGGTAAATTCTGGGTTATCTCTCTCTTATACAAGAGTTTAGGGTTCCCTTTCTCTTACCTCCAGCAAATTCTGGGTTATCTCCCCCCTCTACAACAAAAGTATAGGTTTTCCCACGAACCACGTGAATTTCAGGAATCAGCAAACCATTAATGTACCTAAAGTATAAAAGCAGTTAACCCCGAACAGGTTCTAAATTAAACTTAAAATTTGTTGACTTTTCAAAGGATTTTTTAAAATTCTTTTTAATGTGAAAGATATAGTTTGCAGGACTTCAATTAATCTAAAATAAATTTATGTTTATATTTAAATGTCACGGCAAACTTGAGGTCTTGATTTAAAGTACAGTGAGACTTAACTTTAGAATCCTTTTTATCCCTTAAATGTAGATTTTTCATAATTGCTAATTTACACTTTTTAGTTGGGCTCTTTTATCCAAATATTATATCCAATAATATATATCCAAGTACTCATGTCTCTTACGAAAGTATTTAGTTGTTCATGTACAGTAGTAGTATTTAGTTCATGTACAGTAGTAGTATTTAGTTTTTCATGATGTGACACATCTTGACATTTAACAATTTAACTTTTTCGTTCTTTTATGACGACATTCTTATTCAAACCTTGTTAAAGCACTTAAAGTTAACGTTATAATTTTTTTCTTCTCCATTTGCTCGCTTTGAAAAATTGGTCAATGGCGTGCATGCAACCCTATGCCTTAACATATAGTTATTAAAGGTGCCTTTAGTTTTTCATTCAATTTTTTGTTTAACTTTATCCAGCGTGAAAACCTTATTTAATCATAATCAACATAAGTCAGACTTTTATGCATTTCTATGTGGCTTTAAGTTAGAAAAGGAATTTCTTTTATTAAACTTTTATTTCTTGTTCAGTTCAATATTTCTATTATTATTACTGCGTCAAAATTTGTATTCTCAATCTATACTACGAAGGAAATGATGGCGGTTTTTACATGATTAAAACGTGTTTGAAAGTTTTCTAAGTTTACTTAAATACAGGATTACCCTGTAATGATGAGACTTTATTAATGACAAAGAACTATATGTACTGTCGTCTTTGAAGTTTCATTCTTTGTGGGTAACCATATATCTAAACATATTTCACAGGAAGGGAATTTTGATTTATAAAGGATTCCTAGAAACTTCGTAAACCACAGTTTTATAATATCATCTCAAGGGAAATTTCACTTAATTAACATCCCGCAGAATAGTAATAAAACGGGGAATAATAATGAGCTTACCATGAAATCCCCCAACCTACATGACCCGTAATAGAAGAGTATCCACTATCTCCGCCTGTCGGTCCAATCTGGAAACACAAAATATCCATTAAATGGAACTATTGGTCCAATCTGGAAACACAAAATATCCTTTAAAGGAACTGTTGGTCCAATCTGGAAACACAAAATATCCTTTAAAGGAACTGTTGGTCCAATCTGGAAACACAAAATATCCTTTAAAGGGACTGTTGATTCAATCTGGAAACACAAAATATACTTTATAGGGACTGTCGGTCCAATCTGGAAACACAAAATATACTTTATAGGGACTGTCGGTCCAATCTGGAAACACAAAATATCCTTTAAAGGGACTGGATCGGTTCAATCTGGAAACACAAAATATACTTAAAGGGACTGCCGGTCCAATCTGGAAACACAAAAAATCTGTTAAAGTCTAAAGGGATGTCGGTCCAATCTATATCTATTAAAGGGACTGTAGACGTAATTTCATGTTAATTTTCCAATTGAAAACGATATAACACTTAAAACCTTTGTCTCTTGGCAGATAACTTCTAGTTCTAGTTTCTCAATGAGGCTTCTTTAGTTTAACATTATGGCTACAGTTCCTTTAGTTTAACATCATGGCTACAGTTCCTTTAGTTTAACATTATGGCTACAGTTCCTTTAGTTTAACATTATGGCTACAGTTCCTTTAGTTTAACATTATGGCTACAGTTCCTTTAGTTTAACAT